CTGGTAACTACAGGTTATTAAATTCACGTAACGTCTCGTATTTTCAAAAAAAAACAAATGAAAGTCACTCCCTCCACTAAGTACCAAAAATACTGGTTAGTTGCTACTACAACACGTATTCTGCTATTCACTGGTATACTAAAAATTTATATGCATACACTAGCGGGCCATAAGATTTTTTAAAAAACCAGCTAAATGGGAATTTTTTCTGGCACTTCTGGCACCTTCCTCATAGGTTTATCACTTCATTTACAAATTCACCGTTTCAAATGCACTTTACCCTTTTACATCAAAAAACTGGGGACCACGTAGTTAAACTTACACTTGTATACTCTTTATCGGGAACTTTCTTTCCTCTACATGAAAAGCAATTTTTAATTATTTTTCCAAGGGGACAGGCCATGTTTCCCCCTTGGCAGTAAACTCGCTACGCGTGCACACAAATTTCTCCTTTTTGATCATATTAATGTTTTCCCCCCCAAAATTTTTTCCGGGCGCTAGAGGGATGAAATCGTATAGGATTGATGACAAAATTAAAGTTCTAGCACGTAAAGCGCCCGTGAAAACACGAGAAAACCGGGAGCACAAGGGGCACGCTGACACGGGCATCTGTCCCCCTATACACATTTGGGGGTCCGTTGGACTTCGATGTATTCTTTTTACTGTCCCCGGGCCTCCCTCCTTACTTCATACTCCTTTTTTGCTCTTCTACTAAATTTCCTTTTTTTCCCGGGTCCTATGCCCCCCTGACCTTTTCCTTCCTGTTGCATTTTTTTGCCCCCACACCTTCGGGAAAAAAAGGCTCTTTTGGTCTTTCCATTATTCCGTTTCCCTTGGGAACAAAAATTTTCCTCTGCCTCCTTTTACTTTTTGCCACATTTTCCCCCATCGTTTACTGATTTTCCTACCATTTCTCTGTCCCCCCTGAACTCCCGCAGGGGAATTTTCATACCTTGTAGCCCCCCTTTTATTTGTTTTCCTGTCCCCTTCAGTTCCTGTTCCTTCCACTTGTAAATCTACATTAGTCAAAACTCAGAACCACAGATCGCTAGCTCCAAGGGGGCCCCTCATAAGTGATGTCCTCAATGTCGAAAGCTCAGGGGGGAACACAAGATCCTCTTTCTGGGTCACCCCCCTCTCTCTCTGGGTTTGTCCCCGCTGTTGTGCATAGGGTTTTTAATACCAATCCACATCTTGGCTCTCCATGTTCGGGCCCCCATTGGGTCCAGTTTTTTCCCTCGATTCCCCTGGGTTGAAATCGCCCATTACCAGTAAATTTTCCTGCTCGAGGAGCTCTTTTGCCACCTAGCCCGTGTGTCCACCACACCCCTTTTTTTTCTTCGACTCCTCTCTTGGCCTCCTGCAGTTTTTTGGTGGGATACATCACTCAATGACACTTTATTTCTCCGGACTGAATTGTACCTACAAAGTAGTTTTTTCCCCCAATCATGTCCATGCCTTCCATTTCCCCAAAATCCCATGGGGTTTTTTTTATAGCAGTGCAACCCCTCCCCCCCTTTATATCCTTCTATTTTTCCTCAGGACTGATACCTGTTGGGAAGATTGTTCTTTATTGTCTCAGGGTTTTGTTTCTTCGTTTGATTTTTGGGTTTTTTCACTGATTTTTTATTCCCTCCTCATGTTTATTCTTTACCCATCCGCTTTGTGCCAAACCTTTAGTTTCTTTTCTATCATTGTGGTCAGAAAAATATTGGGGTTGGGGGACGAACCCTTGGGGGGGCCTTTTGGGGGTGGGGTGTAGGGGGGGGTTTTGTTTTGAGGGGGTTGGGGCGAATCCCCTAAGGGACAGCTGTTGGGGTGAGGTTTGTATTGGGGATTGGTGCAGAGGGAACAGGAGGGGGTTTGAAAATGGTTGCTCATTGCTTTGGGAATGTCGCGGGGGGGAGTCTTTTGGGGGAATTCTGGGGGGGTTTTTTTGCCCTTCCTCCTGTTCTGGGCCTGCCCCTTTTCATTGCTTCTCGTTCCTCCTTGCGTCTCTGTACCCTCTCTTTCAGTGTAGTCCTTTCTTCTTGTGTTCGGGGTCGCGGGGGTATGTGTGTGTGTGTGTTTTGGGGTGTTGGTTGTGTGTGTGTTTGTGGTTTGGTGAGTATGATGTGTGGTGTGTGTGTGTGTGTGTATGAGTGTTTTTGGGTGTTGGTGTGTTAGGTGTGTGCTTTGTGTGAATGAGTTGTGTTGTGTGTGTGGTGTGTGTTTAGTGTGTGTGGTTGAATTTGTATTTTGGGGTGTGTTGTGTGTGTGTGTGTGAGAGAGAGACTCAGCAATCAACTTTTGCCCCAAAACCCTACAGTTGTGACCGGGTGTGGAAGTGTGAATTGTCTTTACCTAAAATTTGTTCTGATTGACCCCTGTATAAACGTAATAACCATTTTTACAGTATTCATTACCTTTGTAACTTGTGAGTTCATTACCTTGTCCCCTATTACCATCAAAACTTTGGAGCCCGGCCCTGGACCCATTGGTCCTCTGTAATCTGTAAATCCCTTTTTGTAACTTGTCAGATTGTGACTAGACCCCCTGGAGTTCATTACCTTTTAAAATTGGAGTTCTTACCTTTGTAAATTGTAAATTTCATTACCTCGTAACTTGCTCACTATCAAAACTTTGAGGCCC